GAGGGATGGAGAGTTCCCAAAACATATGAAAATAAGGATGGGCTCAATATAAGAGTTGCGATAATTGTAGGTTCTTCTGATATTCCGGCTACAAGAAAGTTATTTGGACATGGATCTGCAGTAATGAAATGCCACAGGTGTCCGAAAAGAAGCCGATATAGTGAGACATTTAAAAAAACTCACTATGGAGGTATGCAAGATTATGAACAATGGTTATCAGAACAAGCAGATCCCCAGTTGCATAGAGAATATGCTCAAGAATGGCTTAGATGTGATACCAGAGAAATAAGAGATGTTTATTTCAAAAAGCATGGAGTACGATGGTCTGAATTACTTCGTCTCCCATATATGGATCCAATTAGATTTGCAGTGGTAGATCCTATGCATTGTCTATTCCTTGAAGTCGTCAAATGAATAATTCAATCCATATTTGTTAAAGAAAATAAGCTAAATTCTGAGCAACTTCGTATAGTACAAAGGAGGATAGATAGTATTTAACTTCCATCCGATATTGGTCAAATCCTACCAAAGGTCACTATTGGAGAAGGATTTTTAAAGCTCACTGCTGACCAATGGAAGATCTTCATTATAATATATGCAACAACAATTCTATGGGACATGCTAAATGATAATAATAGAAAGATTTTAGGACATTTTGTTCGGGTATGTAACTTATTGGTTACTAGATTTGTTACAGAAGACAATCTGCAAGAAGCACAAGAACGATTAAGGGATATGTCCATAAATATAGAAAGAACCTATGGACCTGAATTCATTACAAGTAATATCCATTTATCGATGCATATTCCTGAATGCATACAGGATTATGGCTTCGTTTATAGCTTTTGGCTATTTCCATATGAGCGATTAAATGAATATATAGGTAAGCTATAGATATCGGATATATGAATTATAGTAAATAAAATTTTAACACAAATCTTTCATAGGTTCTTATCCCAATAGTAATCAGCAGATCGAACTCGAACTTATGAAAATAGTCCTCAAAAATTCGCTTGTGAATTATCATCTTTCCTGTCAATGGACATCTGGTCTCTTGAAGAAGTCTCTTCAATTTCTTGCACTGAAGAAAGCTGCTGGTAACTTAGCTGTAACTAATGAATTTGATAGAGAAGAGTTACAGTATTTCATCTCCTTGAGACATGATACGTCCAATAAGATTTATGGCACTGAAAATATATCAGGACGAATGCTAGCACCTTCGTATAAAAAGGTAAGTATTCCATTGGAACTCTATAAAATATTATGTGAATGGTATGCAACATTATATAACAAAGAAAAAAAAGATGTGAAAGCATGTATGGAAGTGACTATAAACCAACATGCAAGATTAAAAATAGGTAATGAAATATTTGGATCCAAAGTCACAGGTCGACATGAAAATAATATAGTGATCTTAGTGAAATGGAATGCATTTAGAAATGGAACAAGTGATATTTATTCTGGAGAAATATAATATTACTTTGAACATACACTTATACTTCCAACGAAAGAACTTAAAATACATCTTCTAGTATATATCAAATGATATAAAAATATACCTTCCTCTAATATACGATTTAAATATAAGTTTATGACATTCGAAATATCGAATACAGAATTATGGAAAGAAGAATATTATGAGAAAGATCAAGATTCAATTATTACAGTATATAGAATATATGGTAGAGCCATTAAGATAAACTATCAAGTTGGAAATAGAAATAATTATATATCAATAATTCCATGAATAGAAGATTTAATGTTTAATTTATTCTTTTTTTTTATATTATAATAAAGACAATTTCAAATAGAAAACTTGAATTTTAAGTGTATACTGCATAAAGACAAATTAAGTTTAATTAAAATATAGTATCAAGGATCTGATAGATTATATAAAATTTAAAATAAAAAATTTTCTCATGTGCTCAATAAGAAAAAGAATATCGGTTTCTGATGTATACTTTAAAAATATCGGGTTCACAATATTACTATAATATCGAACACCCTAAAGAATCTAAAAAATATTATACTTCCAATATTACTATTTATTATCATATATCTAATATTAATAAAATATTGGGTACTTGAGATTAAAACAAAATTTATCACATAACTATTGGGCACATTATAAAATTTACAAAAGTACTATTGGGTCCTTAAAAAAAAAATGCAGATATCAGGCCTCCGATATATATAAAAA